CATTTTAAAACAGCGAAAAAACAAGCAGTCATCGCACAATGCGAATAGTGTAACGAGTGGGTCGTCCAATGCTCCAACCCAATACAAAACCTTGTTTTTGTTCAGCTATTCAATGTGGCGCAAGCTCGCTTCAGGCATAATTCCTCATCGTCATCAGCCACTGCATGAACAATTGGCACAAAATCCCTCGCAATAGTTTAGCGCATTCCATGCTTCTCAGAAGAATGAGCCAGCCTTGCACCGCCAGCTTTGCACCGCACGCCTCAGTGGGCAGTGGAACGGAGCGGCCGCCACCATGGTCTCATCCAACCACTTTTTGCTTTTTGTACAGGTTGGTCCCTCCCAAGATTATAGCGCTAAGCGATCTAGCAACTATTGTCTGCTGCTCCTTCCATGCCCACATGTGTTGCTTGATATAGTCGCAGAGTGTTTTGTCGTTATAAAGGAACTTCTTTGCGGGGATATTGAACAGAATCCTGGTCCGAATAGCGAAGTATTAGCCGCCATCAGCAAACTAACCGCACACTTGGATGAGCGTCATGACAACTTTCAGAAGACTATTAACAAAGTTAAGGAAAATCAGTTGTTACTTGATTCCAAAGTAACAGATTTAACCACCCGACTAACTGTACTTGAACAGAAGGTTATTTCCCTCGAGAGCGTTCCAGACAATGCACAGATACAAGGTCTTGTAACGGCTGCCGTGCGACATGAAAGTGTCGCCTTCAGTTCATGGCTTGATGACTTCGAGGATCGCTCTTGCAGGGAGAGCCTAATTTTTTATGGGATATTGGATTCTGCTTCAGAAACCTGGGCTGAGTCGGAGCTAAAGATTCGTGAAATCCTGTCTGCGTCCCTTAAACTGGAACGTCCCAATGAGGCCATCTCCCGTGCACACAGGCTTGGAACATATGTACAGAACAAATGTCGACCTGTTATTGTTCGCTTCAGTTCGTTCAAAACAAGGGAAAGTGTGTTTACTAAGAAATTGATGCTCCGCAGCACCCCCGTGTCAATTAGCGAAGATTTCTGGAAAGCCACGCGCCACATCCAGAAAAAGCTTTTAAACTTCGCGAAAAGCACTGGGCAGCCATATTACTTGAAGTATAACAAGATACTAATCAACAAAAAAGCCTACGTTTATTGTCCGGTCACCGACCGTGTAACTGAGGCAGGAGCTATTTATGATAACCCCGTCCACGTTGCTCCCGAAGTAAGCAATGCAGAATGCGCAGGGGCCAGCGCTCGTCCTTCACATCGATAGCTAGATAAGCATTTTCGAGCTCACGAATTTTCTTTTTTGCTATGTAATTCTCAAAGTGTTACTAACAACCGTGATGCCCTATCTGCGCTAATAGATACATGTCTAGCTGATATCGTCGTAGTAACTGAAACTTGGCTGTCCGCGGAAATTGAAAATAACGAAATATTTAACTGTTCAAAAAAGTTTAAATTATACCGCTGTGACCGGGGTACGAGGTGCGGGGGCGGCGTATTGATTGCCATTAGCGACGAGAGTAGCTCGTTCAGCGTGCCTGTTGTTTCACCGCTTGAAATTGTTGTCGCGTGTGTTCGCATTAACCACAAAGATATCGTCGTTTGTGGCTGCTACCGGCCTCCTAACCTTACTACCGGTTTTGCAAATGAATTACACGATGTACTAAATAAGTTGCGAGTAAGGTTTCCGGCTGCGCCTATGTTTCTCCTAGGTGACCTTAACTTACCTAATGTTTCGTGGTCTCCCCCTTTCCCAATAATTTCATCAACTACTGCTGACAGTGCTGCCTTTCTTGATGTGTGTTCAGACTTTAACTTTACCCAGTTGGTTAACGCTCCAACCCGCATTACCTCGTCCACCTCCTCAGTTCTAGATTTGGTGCTGACCACGCATCCCGACTTAATTAAATCCCTATCAGTTATTCCGGGCGTAAGCGACCATCTAGCTATTCATTTTAACATGACTAAAGCAACTAAAAGAAATGATAGCTCAAAAGTTTTTAGGGACTACAAAAGAGCCGACTATGTTTCAATTAATAATGAGCTTCAGCTCTTCCTAAACGATTACCTTTCGCAATTTCTGGAAAGGACCGTGCAACAAAACTGGAATTTGTTTAAGCAGAAGGTAGCAGAACTTACCAATCGTTTTATTCCACTCCGCAGAATTAGGCAAAACGCAAAGTCCCCTTGGTTCACGCTTACACTAAAACGACTACTGAATAAAAAGAAACGAATTTTTCGAAGGGCAAAGCTAACTAACAACGCGGAAAGGTGGTCTGCTTATCATCACGCAGCTGACGAGTACACTCGCGCATTATCCGTTCCAAAAGAAAATTAGTATCAACAAACGCTTTCCTCCCTGCTTGCAACTAACCCACAGAAATTTTGGCAGATGATTAGGGGAAATGAAAAAAAAAGGCGATAGAACTAATCCATGATGATAACAGCCGTGTACCAAAAGAAGAGTGTTGTGTCATTTTAAGCTCTGTGTTTTCATCGTGCTTTGTTAAACCTACAGCACTTTCCTTTCCCGATACCCCCACCCACAACTTTCTTCCCATGGAATATCTTTTATTTGACTGTGTCGGCATACAAAAATTGATAGAAAACATGAAATTAGCCAGTGCTCCAGGTGAAGACGGTATCTGTGCAGTTTTTGCATAATACCTCTGTTTATTCATCTGTCATTTTATGTAAGCTTTTCACACAGTCTTTGGAATGTTATTGCCTCCCGAGCGACTGGAAAGCGGGAATGGTGGTTCCTCTTCACAAATCAGGTGACCTTCATAACCCCCGCAATTACAGGCCCATATCGTTAACAAGTATACCGTGTAAGCTCATGGAACACGTCATCTACTGCCACATAATCACTTTTTTAGAAAACAACTCGTTCCTTAGTGATCACCAGCATGGGTTCCGGAAACAGTACTCGTGTGAGACCCAACTTCTCTGCTTTACTAATGACCTTTTTCTTGCCATTGACGCTTCTTCCCTTGTTGACTGTATTTTTCTCGACTTTTGCTAAAGCTTTTGACACTGTATGCCATAAACTGCTACTGCTAAAACTAAGCAAACTTAATCTTGATGCTAACATATTAAAATGGATTGAATGCTTTCTAATAGACCGCTCCCAATTTGTAACTGCGAATGAATCCAACTCCCCCCTCTCACCCGTAACCTCTGGCGTCCCCCAAGGATCCGTTCTTGGCCCACTACTCTTCTTGATTTACATTAACGATTTGCCACATAACATCTCTTCTTCTATTAAACTTTTAGCCGATGATTGTGTTATTTACCGCGAAATTAAAACCCCTTGTGACCACCTTGCCCTTCAGTGTGACTTAGACAATGTTTCATCTTGGTGCGATACTTGGCTAATGAACCTTAATGTTACTAAATGCAAGGTAATGAGAGTTTCACATCGAACATGTAATATTTCTACTAATTACGTACTTAATAATTCTCCCCTTACTAAAGTTAGCTCTTACAAGTACCTTGGCGTTACAATTTCTGACAACCTTTCCTGGCAGTCTCACATTGACCTTATTAAAAACAATGCTAACCGCACACTTGGTTATTTACGCCGTAACTTCTCTCTTGCCCCGATGCAACTGAAACTTCTGCTCTATAAAACATTAGTCCGACCAAAGCTAGAATATTCATCATCTGTATGGGATCCTCACGTAAACATCCATATCAGTAGCATCGAAGATATTCAAAATCGCGCCGCTCGTTTCATTTTGTCGAACTATTCCCGTACAGCAAGCGTAACCCATATGAAGTCAACCTTAAATCTACCTAGCCTATCATTTCGCCGCAAAATCTCGCGCTTGTGCCTCTTTCACAAGTTGTACCATACCATGCACTCACTGAGTAACTCGCTTTTTTGCCGCCATCCTACATTTCATCCCGCAGCGATCACCACTTCAAAGTTGGAATTACAAGCAGCCGTACAAACCTCCATTTTAATTCATTCGTGCCCAAAACAAGCACGGACTGGGATCACCTTCCCGCTTCCATCGCATCCATCACTGACCTGGCCAACTTCAAGAGTACCATAAACGCATACCCTTTTTAAACATGCTCCATTTGTTTGTACAGATTGTTACTTGTTTTTCCACCACTCCTCTTTGTAACGCCTTGTGCATTGAGAGAAAATAAATGAAATGAAATGATGAAAAATAGCATAGCGAATGCCGGCCTACTACCCTAAAATTTTTATTATTAATGCTGTAGTGGGCAAGCGTGCTTGCAGTAGTTACACAATGAGTGTTTAGAAAATGCTCTGAAAAGCCATTCTTTTAGCTTTCGCTGTGACTGTGCTGTGCCTTCCCCGCAGACCTAGCATTCCCTCCCCCCCTCCCGAATACCCGGCTTCTCAGTGCGATCGCGCGCACATGTGCCGACAGGTCGCGGCTTCCCGTGGCCCCCGTAATGACCGAGTGACCCATGCTCAAATCAGCCAATAGTTGATACAATGGCTGTGACGAGAAATTTTTAAGCTGGTATAATCATTTGTCGAGAGAAGCGAAAGCAATTTTTAACTGACTGAAATATCATTGTAAATTTCAGGCCATGTGGTGAGCTATAATATTTGACTCGTGTGTTCTCGGAAGCCTCAATCATCAATCGGCAGCATTTTCTGACCAAGCTCAAAAAGTATTGCAGGATCCTTTTAAAGGGACCTTGCAAAACGTTTGAAGATGTCATCGAAAGGTTACTTAAAAGGAGTTTATAGCCTCACGAATCGACCATCGCAAAAATATTTAGAATCTGCCAAGTACAAGCCACCGTATTAAAGGGGGCATTTTTAAGAAAGTGGAAACTTAACGCTCTGCTTGTGATCTCTATGTGCCGCACGTAACTACTAAGTTGGCTGAACTCTTCACAGAAGTGTTTTCTGTTTACAGAAGGTGCTTTTTCACCAAATTCCACGAGTTTTTCACAAACCTTTTAATTTACTATTTAATAGATGTACCGACTGTAAAAAGAAGAAAACTTACTACAATAGCAGCAATGACACTGCTAAAATCTCTGTCAAGCTCATGTTCTTGTGCAGTCCACGCCCGTGATGACAAGCTTCCCTCCAAAAAACGCTGCTTTATCTAGAAGAAAATGAATACACAAGTAGGGATAAAAGTTAATCCAAAATCAAGAAATCAAGCACACAAAATTTTAAGAAAAAGGCACACTACATACAAAATGTTCAGCGAAAGTCAGCACAAAATAAAGTTAGAAAAGACACTAAAAATATATTTTGCCAAGTACATCATGCCAGGTTGGAAGACAGCACTACGGAAACAAATATGATACTTGTACTAAAGGCTGTATCTAGTGAAGTGGGGGAAGATTTCAAAAAATGGTAGTTACATTGCATGCATGTTGTGATTTTTTGGGTTCCGACGTTTTCACAAGTGACTGAATAGTACTTAATACTAAAAATATGAAAATTTAAAGCTTTGTTTACAAAGACACTGTAACCAGGAATTCATTTTCTTGTACTCAAATAGGATCCAAAAATAACACAACAGTACTATATGTGAAAAATAATAATTGTGCTACGTGAACTATGTTCCATTTTAAGAGGACCCCACCTTACAGAGAAACATTTTTTGCAGTGTGTTGAGTTTGTTGTCCAAAAGCATTGTAGTTTTATCCTAGAGTGCACAAAACAACTAGAAAAGAAGATGAAGTGAGTGGCATGTGGGGCTGCTTGAGAGCATGCATTAAAAGAGAAATAATGTGTCTGATAAGGACAACATGAGTGTCAGTCTCTTCTCCATAGCTACATTATTGATGCCAAAAACCGGAAGGCCAGCATTTTTTACACCAATACCACACCGAAAATAGTGAAGTTGCACAGGCAACAAGGTGCCCTTCGTGATGCCAACACTAAACTCCTTCCAGAGGGCAGTTTCTGCAAGGGCACTCAACCGTCATCTCCCAACCAGCAGGAAATCGACAATCCTCACGATTCTCGGTGCAATAGACAAGCAGATCACTGACTTGTTGACTTTTCACAACATGCTGGATCTAGAGATGGATACAGCAGTTCCTGTGAAGGCAAGCCTAAAGTTCCTCCATGTTTAAGTGGAAAGACTGGAGGAGAGCCAAATGTCACACAAAAAAACCCATTTCAGAACAATCGTCAGCAAACTGCAAGGCAACAGACATTTTGACATCGCCCCATATACTGTCCTACTAACAGCACGATCATCATTGCAAGGTGCCACTTCAAGGCCTCGAGAGATTATGTGCTCTCTCTGCGGCATCCCAGGACACGTGAAAGAAGGCAGGTAGCACCTAGCGGCATGTGAACAACCTTGGCATTTAAGACAATGCCTCCTCTGCCGCATCTTCATTCAGTGCATCAGAAGTCAAGCCATTCTGTAGCTTGCTGGGACAGTGTTGTCATTGTTGCAAAGTCAGCTAGAAGCAATGTGAGAATTACCATCACTTCAGGAGCATCAGTTAACAGTGGAGGATAATGGTTAAAGACAAAAGGCACAAGCAAGGTGCGAGTTGGGTGGTTGCTATCAGTTGGAATGGTTGGATGCTGCCGTGAACTGCTGGCAAGGACATAGGCCGGCTTGTGAGTGTGAGTTCACACTCTCACAAGACATAGGTTATCGGAAGTTCTTTATTAAGTTACCTTTGTGGCGACCACTACGCAGAAACCTGCACAGCTTCCGTCTCATGAATGGATAGCCCAGCATGACACAGCCATTTGCTACAACACGCTTCCAATAAGGGACAGCGCCACCGCAGTTTCACTGGAGAATTACGTCACCATTGCTGGCTATAAAACTCAAGCTGCCAAGCTCAGTTTTATGATTGTTTCTCTAATTTTTCGAGCGCAGTGGCGGCATGCTTGCCCCACTCCTGCTACCACATTAATAAATGACTGTTACGTTTTATGTCAGAATCCGTCCTTCGTCAACCCGGCATTCCACATATGATGACCCTGAAAATGAACTTACCGCACCACCACGGCCCACCAAGAAGCCCTCGCGGCTCTTCGCCAACAAGTAAAACAACTGCAAGAGCAACTTCAGGCCCAACAACAGTCGCGCTTGGACCACGCCCCACAAAGCTCTGCTCCAGCGGGTGCGTTCACTCCTGCGGCCATTGCCAATATGGACATATGTCATGTCGCCATCAAGTCCCGCCATTTTCAGCTGAGGTGCCCGACGTATGATTCACTTAAAGTGAGGCCCAAATTTTGCTGGTGCGCATCACGCAGGACCGGACCCGTTACAATTACATCGTCGTCCACTTTGACACCTGATACGCCAATGGGGTCCGAAATATCCTTGTCAACCCACTAATGACGAACTGGTACGAACATTTCAAGATTGAACTCGTACACAGTCTGTCATTTTCGGATCAACAGAAGCTGCGACAACTTCAGTCTGCAATGCTCGCCGAACGCAAACCTTCACAGCTGCTCCACCACATACACCCTCTCAAGGGCAACATGGAAGTCCCGGATTTTTTGCTGCAAGCGATTTGGCTCCAACGACTTTCACCGCACGTCCAAGCATTTCTGCAGGTTCAGCCCAGGTTTCCTCTTAACGACCTTGCCGAGATCGCCAACCGCATCATTGAGGTCTCTGTGCCGCTGTCATTGCCCACCATCTAGGCTGTCGCCGCATCGCTGAACACCACAGAGCTTGCGTGCTGCATTGACAACACCAATTGACAACTCAGCTCCATTCAGCAATGCCCTGATGAGAGACTTTCAACACGTCAGCGATACCAATCGTAAAGCAGTGACCATAACACCACCTTATCACAGCAGCCTGCTGAGCACGACTGGTGCTACTAATATCAGCACTTCGGTGACAGAGCCCGGCAATGCCGATCAATCTGCTCCGGCAACAAGAAACTTCGATGGCAGCTGCTAGAGATAGCCGCAAGTGGCCAACCTGCAGGCCAACGCATCTTCGTTACCGACGAAATAAAAAAAAACAGCGGTTCCTTGTTGACAACGGTTTCGACATCTGCTGCTACCCACGAGCCCATCTTTAAGGTCCTCACCGGCCGACATCTTTCAAGCTCAGCGTAGTGAACCGGTCCAATATCAAGACTTATGGCTCGCTGCGCCTGCACATCCAGCTCAAGAACCTTTGCTGCGACCTTGACTGGAATTTTGTCACCACCGACGTCACTAAGCCAATAATCGGCTCAGACTTTCTAGCTTACTACAATCTCCTTCTAGACTGCCGGAACAACCGGATCAACGACGCAAACACGAGACACCCAAGGCCAGTGAATGACCGCCCAACAGCGCACTTGGCTCAGTGTACTCAGTGTTGACAATCACTCGCCGTACCATGCCATCCTCACCAAGTTACCCAGCTTGACGCACTCCAGCGGACTGCCATGCAAAGTGCAGCACACCATAATGCACTACATACGGACCACTCCAGGGCCCCGAGTTTTCAAACGCGCCTGTCGCCTTGCCCCAGACCGCATTCCCGTAGCGAAGGCATAGTTTTAACCCATACTCAGAGAAGGCATCGCCTGTTGCTTCGACTGCCCATGGGCCTCGCCATTTCACTTTGTCCCGAAGAAGACCGCTGGCTGGCGACAATGTGGGGACTACCGTGCCCTCAACGTGCGTACCATGCCGGACAGGTACCACGTCCACCACTTACAGGACTTCGCCATCACATTGGCAAAGGCTTACACACAGATAGCTGCCAATCTGACTGACACCCCGAAAACTGCAATAATCGCCTCGTTTGGCTTGTTCGAGTTTCACTTCATGAGCTTTGGCCTAAGGAAAGCAAGGCAAACCTTTCAGTGCTTCACCGTCGAAGTCATCTGCAGCCTTCACTTCTGCTCCGTCTATCTTGACGACATACTGGTCTTTTCATGTGATGCCAAAGAACACCATAGGCACCTTTGTCTGTTGCTCAAACGCCTCAACGACCACGACCTGCTCATCAATGTCCAGAAGAGCACGCTCGGTGCTTCCACCATACATTTCCTCGGCCATGAAGTTTCATCAGAGGGAACTAAGAAAAGTGACTTATTTATTTTACAGAGTTTTTGGAACGCCCTGTAATTAGTGTTCTGCCTTTTTTTGGAGCAATTGAGGGGGTCTCGACGCTCTTTTGGCGCAGTCTGCACTGGTAGACCAGCGGTGTTCATTGCCTCTGGAGAGGCACCGGACAGTTGTGTACGAAGGGTAGGCTTTGTCGTGATAGACAAAGCCTTTGACCCCACCAGGCCTGAGGTAGAGGGGACCTCTTTCACTTGTGTGCTTCCCTGGGTGCTGCCAAGGTTCACAGGAGCCTTCAGTGGGGCTTTATTCAGGGAGGGTAAGCCAGCTGGTGGCATTTACCTGGGCCATGGAGGAAGAATAGACAGGAGGGAAAACTCCGCTCCTTTCCGCGGCGTGATTCTGTCAGCCCAGGGAGCGGCAGCGAATGCCATGACAGCGCCATCTACAGAACCACGGTCGAACTGTCGCGCCGGAGCAGCAGACGCGAGAAGCGCTGTCTGCTTGCACGCTTGGGCTTGCTACTCAGTGTATCAGTGCATAGATCAGATACACTCGCTAAGCGAGATGGCAAAACCTTATGACGTGTTTTCGCCAGGCTAGCCAGAGTGCCTTGGGAGAGAGACCATACCGCGATAGTCTCCCGAAGCTGTGCACGAGGGCTAAACAGGTTCGCTTTCACTCTTTCACCTTCGCATGCGAGGATAGATGCATTATTTGTGGGAACATAGCGTACAATATACACTAACCAAGAAAAAAAAAACATGCCGCAGAGCCCACATTAAAAAAAATAAGAAATTAAAACAAAAAAGCAAAAAAGTTTTTCTGATGCGTCTGTGCGCTTCCGAAGACTTTGTGAGAACCATTCGTTCATGCCAATTTACAACAACCAAACATGTAAAGCTGAAAACCACACTTTTTTTACAAGTAGCTTACCTAGAACTTTAGAGATTAGTAAAATGTTTGCCGAAGACTCCTGACTCGTGATGAGTATCCTCAACCTTCGAACGTTTACGGCTGTTTTTATTGGCGATTTCAGTGATATTCCTGCCAGTTCTTGGCTTTATTTCTGGGCCATAGTAAGTAAAACCTTTGTTCGAAAACGTAAGGTGTTGCGTCAGGGAGTTGCAAGAACCTTGGTCGGTCACGGATGTCTGCAAATTGAAATTTTGCATAGTGCCGTGCCTGCCGATCGCTCCGCTGTGCAAATAATTTTCCTAGATGTAGCCACATTCTTTCCATTGGTGATCTCTTCTTCATATAGCCCTCGCCCATTCTTGCCGCCGTTCTTAGACTGAGAATTTTTTTATTCTTTTTTTAATGCCGTATCAATTCACAGTTCCAAGAAAGCGGCAGTCTCTGCAATTCTGTTGAATCAGCTGTTGCAGTCTGCTCAAACGTGCTTCTGAAATGTCTGTCTTTCTTTCCTGCGTAGTAGTTCAGTACGGCACTGTTATATGAAAAAACGTACAAAATCTATCCTCAAGCTACACAATGAGTGATTTCAGGCACGCACCTAGCAACGATTACAGATCGTCTGCTTTTTTAATTCTACCACTTACTTCCTTTCGCTGTCCAAACAGCATCCGATTCAGTAGATATAAATAAAAAAATGCTGGCCCTAAGATGCTCTATTTATTTCATTTTGTTTTGGCAAACCACACTGGCGAAAAACTGTCGCAGCTGAATCCAGTAGCATGGTGGATTTGGTGAGTGGCAGATGTAGCACACAACACCCGGATTTTACTCGGGTGCCGTCAAAGACCGCGGGCGCTTTCCTCTCGCGGCGGAAAACAAATAATTCTGTGCGTCGCCTCAAGGATCGCTATGCACACGTTTGCCAACCTCCTCTTCTAGGGTGACATCATCGTGACGCAAGCACCGGCCCGGATTTTCCCCTTTTGTTTTTCTTGCTCTGTGGCCCGGGCAGACCAGGCGTGGTACGGGGCATCGCCAAAAACTGCAGTGATGCTGACCCCCTCGCACCACTTCAGTGTAAGATGTGTTCCCTGCAAAGTGCGGGGAAACACACTGTCTCGCTTCGTGAAAACTGATGTTCAGTTAGATTTTTGTGCTAATGATCTCTTTTAGGAGCTTGCTCGGCAGGCTTCTTATGCTCGCTCCTTGTCCGCGCGGTGCTGGCGTGTACACTAGTTTTGCCAGTGTACACTTCTCTGGCCGTGGCTGAAGGTCGCCGCTCCGGTTGCCTTTCCGGTGATCACAACAATGCTCACTAGATGGCCCCTCGCCACCCTAGGCATCAGTTTTCAATGGCCTGCGCACTCGCCTCCTCGTGACTACGTGCACTTCGTTCTTGTCATTTCGTAAGCATCGGCAGCATGTGACAAGTTCCTACACTGAGTGTTACGCACGATAACCGATATCCTTCCAAGCCCCCTCACCTGCCTGCTCCCAACCACGCTGAACAATGCCTGATAGCTCCACGTTAGAGCTTTCGCTCACGGCAGCTGCCAGTATGGCATAAAGGGGCAGGTGTTTAACATGCCAATAGACGTGGCTAACACTGTGCAGTGCCGGCCACGGAACATGCCCGACAACGCTGCCTTCGACGTACACATCGTGCGCCGGTTTATTAACAAGCCTTTTTACTGAAATGGTCTCACCAAGAAAGGCCCTCGCCCCTCCAAACAAACTCCTGTAACATCATTCACTTTGTGGATATGGCAGTAATTTTTTTCCCTATTTTAGGCCATGCAAGACCTAGAATATGCCCAGTGGTCCCCATCACAGTTGGCGCAATGAAATTCAAATTTCTATTCATCATCAGCAGAATGTTCTGCGGTGCCATATTTTGCACAGGTAAGCTAGCCTTGGCAGCTCTGGGAGCCATGGCCAAAGCGCTGGCACTTGAAGCAGTGCTGCGGGTTGGGAATAAATGGTCTCAAGGACAGTTTTAGATATCCTGCTACTATTTCGAAGGGGAGTGTTATAGAGCCAAAGTGAGTATTATGTGTATCGTAGGAATTTCTTTGTTTTCTCTTCTTAAATGCGCTGCATTTGGATGACATTTTCATGTTTCCAACCTGTCAGAAGTTCGTCAGTTAGATCCATCAGGTCGCCATCAATTACAACATCCTTCAGGGTGTTCAGTGTTTAGCGTGGCGTTATGGTGATGGCCTGATCAGCAAAAGCTGTCAGGTTACACAGCCTTTGGTACTGTACATGGTCTTTCAATTCGAGAAGTAGGTCACCACTGGCAGTTTTTGTGGCGTTGTAGTCAGCACCTAGCGTTCCCATAAGGCACTTGGATACTAGAAATGGTAAAATGCTTCCAGCCTTTTTTTCTGTGCTGTCATAGTGAATAAGGTGATATTTGGTTTAGTTGTCTTTCTTAGTTGGGAGAAGTTAAAAAATTGCATCAGTGCACCACCTTTTGGAGGAGCGATAGGTTCGGAAGGGGCTAGGAGATTCCACGAGTTATTTTGTTTGTTCAGCAGCCATGCCAGCCACCTACTTTGCCAAGCCCAACGAGGGGACGCTACAAGATGCAAAATAAACCTAAGTGACAGCTGCACATGGCCTCTATAACCTCATATATCTATCCAAGGTTGCATATTCACACCAGGTTAAGCCTTACCGCCGAGCAATGTGGAAGTAAAAAGGAGTAAGGACAAGACATGAAAGATCAAAAGTAAAAGAGAAAGACAAAAATGTAGGGAGAGATGGAGACAGGAAACGGTGACTGCCTATTTCCTTTGGGTGGGTCAGGCCATGGATGCCATCTACGTGAAGCCAAGGCCAAAGGGGTGTGTTGCCTCTGCCAGAGCAGGGGGCTTAAAGGTCAAAACACCTGGTGTTGACTTAACCCCCAGGATCCCTTTTCCATGGACAAAGTTATGCACGGCTAGGCGTGGAAGAAAATTTACCCCCCCCCCCCTTCCCCTCCGCCTTCTGTTAGCTCGGGTCCGTGGTGTAGCCGCACACCAAATGCCTGCTTGCGCAGACACTCCCGGGCTCCAAAGCAATTTAGATCATTAGGCACAAAGCATAAGAAACAGGCAGAGAGAGAGGGATTCATGAGTAATAAGAGTTTCACAGTCGCTGGTCCACCATAGCAGGTAAACACACGAACATCACACATGCATATCTTACCAAGAAGAGACAGGTGAATGACTGGTGCATGCTGGCTTCTGGTGGTGTTGCGCAAATGTAGATAAGTCCTTGTTCCACCAGAAGGTGGAAAACGTACCTAAAAATAAATAAATTCTTAAATCACTCACTAAGCTCAACGAAGTCAAGAGTTTGACAAAATTCAATCTGGTAAAGAGCTTGATAGTAAGCTAGTCAATGTCCAACATTAAAAAAAAAATATGACATTCTGGGATAGTGCTACTTATTTGAATCAGTAGTAATTGCAGATTAAGATTGGCTGACAAATTATTTTCCATGACGCACGATATCCAATGTCTCAGCATATTCCATGACCAGTCTTCTCAGCAATGTCTGCGAGGGCATTTCTTACTGTATGGCCCTTGGCGACACCTCCAGAAATTTTTACTTTTGCCAAAATACGGAAACCTCGATATAAAGAACCCAGATATAACAAAATATTGGTTATAACCAAATAAATAAAAAATATTCTTGCAATAGATTTTGTGTTAGAAATAAACCTTAATGATAAATTTTTGGATATAACAAATTTATTTTTGTGTAAGATGCTCCTTTGTTACAAGAGGCTTCAATGTATACACTAATTCGCAATCGGTGCAAGGAATCTTGTAGACCACACCAAGAAAACATTGCAGAGGCAGAAGATCTACCGCGTTCAGCAAGTCGCCTTAAGTTTGCTTGCTAGCACAAGCACAATGTGGGTACCATGGTTTGTAAGAACATAAGATAGAGATAAGATAGGGATTCCTAGGCAGCTAGCTAGCTAGAAATGTAAGAAGCTTGATATGTAAGCTAGATAAGAAGCTAACTAGTAGATAGCTAGCTATGTACGAAATGCTCAAAGTGCCTGCAGTTTGCTAAAAAATGTTTCGCATTACAAAAAAATTATGCAACTATCTCTGAGTCATAGTTAGCAACAAGCTTTTGGCTCTGTCATCTTAAAGTGTGTCAAGCATATATATATATATATATATATATATATATATATATATATATATATATATATATATATATATATATATATATATATATATATGATGAAATAGATGATCAGAGTTTCTTCCGGCTACCGTAATAAAAGTTATAAACTTCGAGAATAGTGCAGTATAGGAAACAAAACAATAAAATATTTATTTAATCCTAACAGTTTCGGCTGGTGGACCAGCCTTCTTCGGAGGATATAAGTGAAATGATACAAGTTCCCGTAGCAGAGGGTCACCCTCACAGTTTAAAGACCCTCCAAAAAGAGAGAGAAAAAGACAAGCGGGCGAACGAGGTAGCAACAGACAACAAGAAGCAGAAGAAGGAGAGGAACTAGAAAGGAGCGACGGAGAGCCGCCGGAAACGAGCGGGTAATTCTGGCATTGTTACTTGGTATAGGTAAGACGCGCCGCCAGCGGAGGCGACCAAGAAAAACGGAAAAATGTGGAACATGTTGCTGCTTACTCGCATCCCACACATGGATCGAGTTTAAGTTCACGTGGTTCGGCGGCTGGCCCGTGGCATCGGGCCACACACACACACACACAAACACACACAAGAAGCATACGACCCGCTCCAGCTTTCGGAATATAATGGCCACGTTGGAAAGCTAATGTGCCCTCTCCCCCTTCCTCCACCTGCCCTCTCTTGCAGAAAAATGTACAACCAGTCATACTGAAAATAAATAAATGGGTATTTTTGTAAAGGATGAAAATATATTAAAAAATATATAAAATAAATAATACTAAAAAAGTACTCAGAAAGGAAAATAAAGTCTAATAATACTAACACAATCCGTTTGGTTCACGTAGCATCGAATTCGTTAAGTTTCGCTATATTGAACAACTTGCGTGTGCGACTTCACGTATTTATAAATAAATTAATTGAGTAATTCAATTTCTGTGTTTCACGAAACGTCGCGGAGACACGTCAGTCGCCCAGGGCTCTCGTTGATTCCGTGGGTAAGTGATCTGAATTTCTTTATAAAGTATGACTCCCGCTGTTCGCGCTCCCGTGTGTTCTGGAAGCCGGATTGTAGGAGTATGACACGCGTTCGAAAGAGTGACCAGGAAGATTGATATGTTTGGAGAACGGCAAATTGGGGAGGCCCTTTACGTGTGCCCTGTGGTTGTTGAAACGCAAACGGAACGCGGTTTCCGTGTGTCCAATATATTCCTGTTTGCACACCTCACAGCGAATTTTGTATACCACATTGGCTGAGTCACAGTTAAGGTCGTCTTTAATTTTGTACACATAGTCTGAACAGGAGGCTTCGGCCGTATCTGTGGTCACCATGTGTGTGCACACCCTGCAGCGAGGTTTCCCGCACGGTCTACAGCCCTGATGGTGGTCGGATTTGTGTGTTTTCGCCTTGACCAGTAAGTCTCTCAGGTTTTTATTTCTTCGGTAAACCACCTTGGGCGGAGTCTGAAAAATGGCAGAGAGGCGACTACTCTGTTTAAGTATGTTGAAGTGGCGGTTTAGTATAGAATTCACCCGAGGGGCGGCGGCGCAGTATGTGAGGATTAAATTTGCCCCTGAAGTCATATCATCTTTATTCCCACCTTTTTCTCCCATTGTTGATTCTCGGTCCAAAGAGCGAGCGCGCTCAATTGCATTGTCAATTATTTTTTCGGGGTACTTTTGACGCAAGAAGGCTGTTCTCATTTCCTGTGCGTGGGTGTCAAATTGCGTGATTTCAGAGCAAATTCTTCTGTATCTGTGGGCTTGAGAGTAAGGAACACCTGTTTTGCAGTGATGGGGGTGACTGCTATGGAAATGCAGATACTGTTGGCGGTCTGTTGGTTTTTTATACAGGGAAGTAGATATGGTGGTGCCACTGAGTGATACAGTGACATCCAGAAAGTGAACACTCCTCTGCGAATACGTGTGCGTGAATGTTATCGAAGGATGCACGGAGTTGAAACCGGAAATGAATTTGGAAAGATTATGTTTGGAAAGATTATGTTTGGAATTTGGAAAGATTATGCCTTCTTGCGTCAAAAGTACCCCGAAAAAATAATTGACAATGCAATTGAGCGCGCTCGCTCTTTGGACCGAGAATCAACAATGGGAGAAAAAGGTGGGAATAAAGATGATATGACTTCAGGGGCAAATTTAATCCTCACATACTGCGCCGCCGCCCCTCGGGTGAATTCTATACTAAACCGCCACTTCAACATACTTAAACAGAGTAGTCGCCTCTCTGCCATTTTTCAGACTCCGCCCAAGGTGGTTTACCGAAGAAATAAAAACCTGAGAGACTTACTGGTCAAGGCGAAAACACACAAATCCGACCACCATCAGGGCTGTAGACCGTGCGGGAAACCTCGCTGCAGGGTGTGCACACACATGGTGACCACAGATACGGCCGAAGCCTCCTGTTCAGACTATGTGTACAAAATTAAAGACGACCTTAACTGTGACTCAGCCAATGTGGTATACAAAATTCGCTGTGAGGTGTGCAAACAGGAATATATTGGACACACGGAAACCGCGTTCCGTTTGCGTTTCAACAACCACAGGGCACACGTAAAGGGCCTCCCCAATTTGCCGTTCTCCAAACATATCAATCTTCCTGGTCACTCTTTCGAACGCGTGTCATACTCCTACAATCCGGCTTCCAGAACACACGGGAGCGCGAACAGCGGGAGTCATACTTTATAAAGAAATTCAGATCACTTACCCACGGAATCAACGAGAGCCCTGGGCGACTGACGTGTCTCCGCGACGTTTCGTGAAACACAGAAATTGAATTACTCAATAATTTATTTATAAATACGTGAAGTCGCACACGCAAGTTGTTCAATATAGCGAAACTTAACGAATTCGATGCTACGTGAACCAAACGGATTGTGTTAGTATTATTAGACTTTATTTTCCTTTCTGAGTACTTTTTTAGTATTATTTATTTTTATATATTTTTTAATATATTTTCATCCTTTACAAAAATACCCATTTATTTATTTTCAGTATGACTGGTTGTACATTTTTCTGCAAGAGAGGGCAGGTGGAGGAAGGGGGAGAGGGCACATTAGCTTTCCAACGTGGCCATTATATTCCGAAAGCTGGAGCGGGTCGTATGCTTCTTGTGTGTGTTTGTGTGTGTGTGTGTGGCCCGATGCCACGGGCCAGCCGCCGAACCACGTGAACTTAAACTCGATCCATGTGTGGGATGCGAGTAAGCAGCAACATGTTCCACATTTTTCCGTTTTTCTTGGTCGCCTCCGCTGGCGGCGCGTCTTACCTATACCAAGTAACAATGCCAGAATTACCCGCTCGTTTCCGGCGGCTCTCCGTCGCTCCTTTCTAGTTCCTCTCCTTCTTCTGCTTCTTGTTGTCTGTTGCTACCTCGTTCGCCCGCTTGTCTTTTTCTCTCTCTTTTTTGGAGGGTCTTTAAACTGTGAGGGTGACCCTCTGCTACGGGAACTTGTATCATTTCACTTATATCCTCCGAAGAAGGCTGGTCCACCAGCCGAAACTGTTAGGATTAAATAAATATTTTATTGTTTTGTTTCCTATACTGCACTATTCTCGAAGTTTATAACTAATATATATATATATATATATATATATATATATATATATATATATATATATATATATCATGTCTGCTAGCTAGCTAGATATGCAAGAAATGCTCGAATAGCCTGCAGCTGGCTAAAAAATGCTTTGTATTAAAAAAAATAGTGCAACTATCTCTGAGATATAGTCAGCAACACGCCTTTGGCTGTGTCTTCATAAATTGTGTCAGCCTATTTTTAAATTTCGGCTAGAGTTAGCTGGGGCACCCTGTATATGAAAGCCGGGCCATCTGGACTTTGGTCAGAACATCTGTTTTGCTTATATATAAGTGCTAGGCTTATTCTATGTAAAAGTTTGCATTCCTATTTAAAATATTTTTGCCTAAGCCCCGACAACAGGATCTTTCATAAAATTTGTCAGTACTTTAAGGTTTTTGTGCTTATAACCGGCAACATATAAGTTATATTCATATAAAAAATGAACTATAAATACAAAGTATTAGTGCTGGGTACCAAGCACCTTTTGCACCCAAGACGTTGGGGCAGCAGCACTGCACATGCACGAAGCCCCATG